CGATCATTAAATATATCAGGACATGTTTAGTCTGCTTAAAAAACCTTGTAAAACAATGCAGGTGTAAAAAAAATTTATGTTTGATTGAGATTGGGTCAAAAAATTAAGTCAAACTAATGGAAAATTCAATAGAATTCGAAAAAAAACTGAAAACAAGCATCGAATTTGAATAATTTTATTTTCACTAATTCAAATTTGGTAGTAACATCAAGATTTTGATACTATTAATTCAGCAATATTTCACCTGATAGCATCGCTGACCACATGGTGATCTGGAATCCAGCCAACTCTCTCTGACAACATACTGAGGAAAAAGGGAAAAGTGTTCTCTTTGTAACACCTCTCAATCTCACCCAGACACGTGTGAACAGCTAATTCAGCATCTAGGCCAGACGGAACGCCCCATCTAAAAGTCGTTTTTGTTCCACGAATCTCGAATCAGCTTTCGAAATGCTTTTACTTAACCAACAGATAAAATATAAAAACGGACACCCACCGAAAAAATTTTTAAAAAGAAGTCAGCTATTACAAACCACACTGGATTGAAAAAAAAACATATTTTTTGATTTTTCTTAAATAATTTCCGGAGCAATAACTTATAATCAGGTCTTCACCTGTTTAACTCACCTCAGATCTATTTCGACGAGATGCAACTTTCTTCCCTTGCACCAAGCCCTCAAATCAGGAAACACTTTCTTCACCAAAATATCCCGCTCCACCTGGAAGTCGTGAAACGTCGACGAAACAAACAGTCGAATAGTCTTCCATGGTTTGTTCATGGGCTTTACGGTTGCATTCTGACGTTCGAGATACTTGGAATCCTGACATGATTTCAGCGCCAGTGACCAGGCTTTGTCAACTCTGTTTTTGGTCAGTTCATCAGAACTTTCACCTGAAATTCCACTCCTGGATTTGCTCCGAGGTCTCGCATTTCTAATTTGGCGTTTCGAATTATCTTGAATTTTCTTGAGTCGATCAAAGTAAGATTGTTCTCGTCGAGGAAGACATTTAATTACTATATTTAATATGGCGTTTTAGTTTTTCAAAGCGTGCACTTTGATAAACATTACAACTGATTATTTATGCAGATGCATTCAGTAAAAAGCACGTGGCGTTATTTAACCGTTTGACAACAATAAGCAGAGCTACTGAACGGAACTGACGCATCAGCAAACAAAATAATTTAGGTGATTGAAAAAGGGTAAAAACTCCCGTCAACCACTCGGTGAAAAAAGAACATATTTATAAGTGTCAAGTCATACTAATTTGGGACAGAATCGGACCAGTAGATATAATTAGAAATTTGATTATATTTGTACTTTTTTTGAATGGAAAAAGGAAACAAGCTTTTGAAACGCTTTGAATATTAATTATTTTGATATCACAATAGGAGAAAAGTTTTTTCTTGATAATTTCTTGATTTACTATTATCTTGACATTGAAACCATGGTTTCTTTATTAAGGTGATCAGAAGTGCAGCCAAATCTGCTTTAACTTCAAGGGCTATTATATTTGTTTTGACAGCTCTTGATAAAATGAGCGATACATATATTTATGAAACCGTTCAAAACAGAAGCTTGCAGAGCTTCGTACCATTTGCTATACAACCAAACATAGCAGTGGAAGCTAGCAGACACCAGTAAAGACGATTTCGACGAAAAATAGAGAAAAAACAACTACATCTACAAAAATTCCTTACACTTATCTCGAATGATTTTCAACTTGGGAAAAACATAAGAACCACAATCGACAGTTTAAAAAAGTATTCAAAAAATTCACTAACATGACAGTACTTACGTACTAACAATAAATACAGTTGCGTTTACAAACAAATTCGAGCTATACAGTTTTTACCAACTCTCTCCTGAAACACAAAAGTCAGATGTCTCCTTCATACGATGTGTTCCTAGATATCTAAACGAAAACAACATAACCCAAAAAATTTCAGCTGAATTAACCTTTTATGCGAAAAAAAGGAATGAGTTAATCATACACAGAGTTTCTGAATGAGTGGCGTGAAAATAAAGTTGCGTTTGTATAAACAATTCGAGCTATAAAGTTTTTACCAACTCTCTCGTGAAACACAAAAGTCAGCTGTTTCCTTCATACGTGTTCAGAGATGTGTAAACCGCAATAACATAACCCGAAAAATTTCAGCTGAATCCTTTTATGCGAAAAAAAAAACGAATGACTTAATCATACACGAAGCAAAGCGGAGCTTCGCATCACTTGCGACACAACGCAAACATATCATGAAATACTAGCCAGCGAAAAAAAACAGATTTTGTAACACAGAAGCGAAATTCCACTTCGCATACACAAGCAAAAATATGACCGATAACGCTACTGGGAAAAACTGAATGAGTGAAACTTTGAGTCTGCAAAATTTTTTAAGTAACGCACGCCAATTATGAGTCTATAAAATTACTAAGTGACTCAAGCCAATTATGACGCATTAGCAGTACTAGTCAATTTGAAAAAAAAAGAAATTTACTAACAAACATGCCTCAATTTATAGAGAGGACGCATTTTAACTAGTATACGAAAAAGTTCATTAAAAACATCCGACCCTGCCCAGGTTCAAGCCCTCTTATTTTGTTGCTGGTCTCCTTCCCTGCCTCTAAGCTACATATCCATGATACCTTGAAGCTTACATGCTATTTGTACTTTAATAGTCTGTGTTAATATCCTTAGCATTGGCTGTACTTAATAGCTGGTTATTGCTCAAAATGAACACTTTCAAAATGAACTTATTTTGTCGCAACAATATTTGCGACTTAGGTTGGCAAAAAAAAAGAAAGTTCATAGTATCACACGAGCCTTGCTTGTGTAAACCAATGACAATATTGAATCTCAAAGATCTCAATTTTATTGAACAAATTGAAGAATTTTATTAAACAAATTTCTTGCTAATCGGAGAAAAACTGCGAAAGTGGTAAAAAAGCCGATAAACGGATTAAAATGTTTTCATTCAGAAACTTACAAACTAACACCCCTCAAAACACCGTTTGGCATAACTTCAAAGCTTTTCAAACGCAATATGAGGCAATTGAATCAACAAACGGAAACCATTAGGGTAAACAGAAACAATTTAAGTCGAATAACATTTAAAAAAAGAAAAGAATAACAGAAATGATACCAAATAAGAGCTGCTAAAATTACACAGACACCAAGCAGAGATTCAAACCATCTGCGATACCACAAAAACAAGGCATGGTAAGCTAGAGGACAAAAAATTAAACGGGGGCCATTAGGTTGACAGAAAATCAATGTTGAAAAAAAAGTTTTGCTGCAACTAAGTCAATAAAATTGTTGTAGATGCCAGTTGAGCCAAAAACAATAATTGGCACAGTAAAAGCCAAAAATATTTTGAGATTGAAATTTATACGCTTTACACTTTTGCTAAACAAGAAAAATTTCCTTTCAAACAAACAGGTTCTGGTCAGGTGCAAACGCAAGCCGTTTGTCGTTCCAGGCATGCACTTAACCGCCAAGACAAGAGTGCCTCAGACGACAAAAAATTTCAACTGATATAACAATAATAATAATAATATGAATTTAGCGTCCCCCGGCATAATGGAATTAAGCCGACAGATTTAATAGCCAAAAAATCAGTACGAAATGATCTGGATATAGTCAACTTAAATTTAACAAAGGGGCAAAGTTCTCTAGAGAACAAAGTTGCTTACAGTAAAAGTCTAGCGCATGATTGCAACGCCTTTGCTAGGTGCGAGAATTAAGAATTTAAACAGGCCGAAAGTGTCAACTTTTTGAGGAGAAATAGGATTGCGTGCCATATGGAACTTCACGATTTGGCTGATGAAAGTTCAGTAACAATTAGAAGACCAAAATTTTGACAAACAACTTTTGATTTTTTAAGAATCCCATTAACAAATAAACGATCTTCATTATGCTACCACGCCTGACCACCTAAACTTTCTTTCAGGTAGTCAAAACCGTCTGGAACAACCGCTGTGACAAATTTCTTCCAACTCCGTGAAGTGGTGGAAAAAAATATAGCCAACACAGAGATGGAAGATTCAAGAACGCAAGGAATTACAGACTTCTTTTTGAAAAAATGTATGGCCTTAAAGCTCTTTAACTTTTAAGAAAAATTTATGATTGACACTTTTTCGAGAAAATTAACCCAATTTTAGAAAACTTTACCAATAGGTGAGTTTTTATTCCGTTGGGAAATCTGAAAATTTAAAACTACTTACGAAAAGAGAAACCTTCACAGGTTTATGACCTTTTGCCTCTCTTCCAACAAACCATATGAACCAAAATGAATAAATTGCGAAAAAAAAATAACTTTGAGCAGGAACAATCTACTAAGACTCCAGCCTCAAAAAAAATCAATTAAAAAGACTTATATAAGAGCATTCACTAGGGACCCTTAAAAATGGAACAAGTTCCATTTCAAACAATCTTCATGAAAAGGTTGGTACAAAAATGGAACAACTACTTGGAACTAATGGAACAAACTTATAAAATAGTTTTATATACTATGACGACGGGGACACGGAGACGCTTGAAGAGTGCTCAAAATTCACCGTGTACATCCTGCAACGCAGCCGTGAAGAAGCAAGACGAAGGAGTGCAATGCGATAGATGTGGCGAGTGGTGGCATCGGGCGTGTACGGACATCCCGCAGCAGATTTACGACCATCTATCATCGGTTCGTGGGATATGTGGGCCTGTGCGAACTGCCTTGACGATGCCAAGACAGCAATGAAGACGTCCATTCGAGATAAGTCTATTGAAACTTCTCTAGAATCTATCAAAACTGATGTCATCAATCTTAAAGCAGCTATTGTATCCACTGATACTAAGACAACTGTAAATGGCCACACAGCAACGCTTGTTACACCTGATGATCAAAGTAAAATAGGAAATCGAATAAATGGCGTGCCTGAACCTCCTACCAGAAATTGCATGACAGAATGGATTCAGACATTCAAGCAGTCAGAAAAGTTATGGAGTATTTGGGAAAGCCTGTCAATGAGCCTATCACTGATTCCTTTCGGCTGAGAAAGTATCGATCTGATGCTACCACGCCGAGAACCTTGCTGGTGAGGTTTAAGAATCCATGGCTGGTTCGTAAGTTGCTGGCTAAATCGTTTATCTAGAAAGATTATTCTGATCGCATCTACTTATCCAGAGAGCTTACTGTTGACGAAAAGAAATTGGAGTCGCCGATTCTCTCTGAACGTTATGAACTTGTCGAAACCGGTATCTCAAAGGACAGACTGAGAGTTAGAGATTTAAAATTGTATCTGGATGGCAAAGAACATGTGTTTTGACTAGCCAACCGCAAAATTACTCTCTGTTTGCTGAATGCCCGTTCATTGAAAAAACATAATGCCATTTATGAACTACAGTGTGATGCCAGTTATCACGGATTTGATATTATCTGTATAACTGAGTCTTGGTTAACCACGGACATTGATAATTCGTTTATTGCTATTCCTGGGTATGATACATTTAGGAAAGACCGCAGTTCGTTGAACTCAAACAAAACCACAGGCGGCGGTGTCTGTATTTTTGTTCATGAAGGTATTGTCAGTGATCGGTGGACTTGTCATCATTCTGATCAGTATGAAATTCTGTGGCTGTCACTTAGCGTAGAAAATAAATATTTGTTGGTCTGTTCGGTTTATTTCCCACCTGATGCTACGTATGGCCGTCAGCTAGAAATGCATATCTCACATTCCATCAATGTCTTCAGGGACCAGATCCCATCTTCAATTATTGTACTCTGTGGGGATTTCAGTAACTTGGATATTGAGGATCTCGTATTAGATTGCGGTCTTTAAGATGTTTGTACGGAACCCACATGCGGGAATAATAGACTTGACAAAATATTGTGTTCGGATGAAATTTATGTCAATGGTATTGAACGATTTACGTCTACTCTGAGAACGGACCATATGGTTTTGGTTGCTTATCATGGTGTTGAACAATCTGAAAAGAAGGTTGTTTATTTTCGTGACCATAGATTTGCCAACAAAAATCATTTGAACTATTTGCTGGATACCCATGATTTAAGTTATTTTCTTAACTACAACGATCCAAATGTGTTGTTAGGGGAACTTTCTAACGAGTTTCTGAATCTGTATAAGGTCGCCTGTCCATTGAAACGTGTTG